GGCGGCGTCGCTGTGGCAACGGCCCCCCCACCTTCCTCGGCTGGCGGCCCCTCTGCCGCCCCCTGGCGGCGCGGAGGAGCGCTCTGCGAGGCAGTGGTGGGGCGGGAGGAGCCTCTGCCGCCCCCTAGCCCCGCGGAGGAGCGACCGCAGGCGGCGCGGCGCCCCGGGCTCTGTGGACACCCACGGGGGACGCGTGGGGGAGACACGCGGGCCCCGGCTGCCACCCCCGCCGTCACTTCCAGCACACGATGATGTTGGGGTCGTTCTCCAGCCGCTCGTCCAGCTCCTTGTAACTCATGCCTGGGGGTCGGGGAAGGCAGCGGGGTGTTAGTGGGGTGCCCGGCAGCGGTGTCGGGGGGCTGGCTGGGCTCCCCAGCTGCTCCCCCCGGGCAGCACGGGCTTGGCAGCCCAGCTCGGCACAGAACCTAGCCCAGAGTCCCGTCTCCACGAGGTCTGAAGGCTCCCAATGGGGCGAGGGAGACCCCGAGACCAGTGCATGGCCCTGGGCACGCAGGCAGCCTCTCTGCCTCCCACCGGCCCCGAGACCTGCACGGAGGAGCCCGGATCCTCACCGGTCTTGCAGCAGATCTCGTCGTAGCTGTGGCAGCCCGTGTACAGCCGGGCTGGGTGGCTCCGTTCGTCCCGGGCGACCTTGACGGGGTATTTCTGAAGCCGCCGGATAAGGCCCTTCATCAAACCAAACTGGATAAGCCTCCTGGGGACGAGGAGGGAAGAGAGTGGGACCACAATGCTGAGGTGTCAAACACTCCAGCTCCCCCCACTCCCTTCTGGTTCCACCATGCCACAGCACTGCCTCACGTTTCCCCACCTATGGACGCAGGGGTTGGGAACTCCCTCCTCGCTCCCCCACACTCGCGCCACCACCCCCAGTGTCACCGCTGCCCTCGGGGACCGAGGAGGAGGGTGCTGGCTCCGACCTCTCATCCACCCTCTGGAGCTGCAGGGTGTAGCGGGAGATGAGATCTCGCACCGTCGTGCCAGGGCTCAGCCCGCAGTACAGCTGGAAGACGTCCCTGAGACTGGCTCGCTTGTGCCCTGTGGGGACAAGTCAGCAGTCAGCTGCCCTCTGTCCCTGCCTCCGCTGGCAGCCCAGCGCAGGGTCACCCTACCTTGTTTGGTGACGTAGGACAGACACTCTTCCTGGAGACACTTGTCATCCACCAGGTCCTGGACCTTTGGTGTGGTGCAGTAGACGTTGGAGTACTGGAGGGCAAGGGAAAACCAGCTCTGCTCGGCCACAGCTCCCAGAGACAGACCTGCCCCGCTCAGAACCCCGTTATCCCCCCTACACAGCCACCCCGATGGCGCAGCCGCTGCCCCAATCCTGCTCACAGCCCCACGCTCCGTGGCCTGACCCACCTGAAGTATGGAGACGAGCGTGACGACCCCGTAGTACCTGCAGACAGACAGGGAAACGTGAGAGACCCTCTCTGCCAGCACCCACCACTACCCCCTCCTGTGGGCTGGCCAGGCCCCCCCTTCCATGCACTCACAGCAGGTTTTGCACAGCGATGCGCACCAAGTTCAGCTCTACGTCGGCTTCTGCAGAAATCTTCTGGACGTGCCGAAAGCCATCAATGTAGGGCAGGATCTAGGAGGGGAGGAAGCAACAGCTAAGAGGGGAGAGAGCAGAGAGGTCCAAGGCATCACCCTGAAACCCCAGAAACTCCCCTGTGTCCAGGAGCACACTGGGATGGGCAGGCTCCATCCCTAGCAGCATTTTATCCTCAGGTTGGGTAAATGGGTTGCTCATGGGCCCAAGCACAAAGACAAGGGGAGCACCAAACCGTGCTCATTAACGTGGTGATCTCCGGGACAGCCTGACTCCCCTCTCCCTGCGGGCAGGCTGGAAACAGGTACTGTTCAAAGCATGCTGCCCCTGGTCAAGCACACGGACCTGCTGTGTGGTGAGATCCCACTGGGAGTTGAAGAAGTCGTCCTTGTCTTGTGTGAAGACGGGGACATCGTACTCCTGCACGATTGGGGGGTCCGGGCGCTGCTCGATCACCTTCAGGTGGATTGTGTTTGACTCATCTGTCCAGGGAAAGGGAAGCGCTCAGTCCCCACAGGAACCTCTGCTCCCTCGGGAGCTTGCGACCGTCAGACCCAGGACATCACCACGCCGCATGGAGGAAGGCGTTTGTGTCCCACAGCCCCATCCCTCCTGGCCCTTTGAGCCACCCAGGACAAGGGTGGCTCAGACACCCCCCAACTCCAAGCGCAGACAGGGAGGGAGCTGGCAGGAGCAGCATAGGCAGAGCTGACCCAGGCAGGGGATGGCCCAGCTGCCTCCCAGCGCTGCCCTGCCCCGCTCCACCCCTCGCTGCCGGGCCAGCGCGGCTGCTGTACCTATGGGCAGGGTGCACTTTCCTTTGGCGTTCAGCTCCTCCAGCAGGATGGTCATGATAGGAACCAGCTTCTGTTTACTCTCCTCGTTGGAGATGAAGCCACTTTCCAGCTAAAGAGCAGAAAATCAAGTCAGCTTCTTCCCACAGGATTACTGGCTATAGGAACCGCACGTCTTGGATCCCGCCCTCCCTTAGACTTCAAGTGATGCGTAGGTAAAACCAGCACGATCCCCCCCTTACTGTAAACCTGGTCCCTACCCCAGCAACGCCCAGTGACCCACAACGTGCACCAGGACACCAGTGACTCTGTGGGGGGGGATCATGAGGCAGCCAGACTCTGCTCGAGTTGGCTTGGGCCTCACCTCGAGGGTGGTAAGGTAGCCAGCCAGCTTCTTCACTATGGGCTCCAGCGCACAGGCCTTGGCTCTGGCATCGCACACAAAGCCCAGGTTGAAGAGCAGAGCATTTCGGCTGTACTTCTTGTGCTCGATACACACGGGGCAGCCGATCAGCTTCTTCTCCATGGCCGTCCTGCGGGAAGACAAGTAGGACCTGCACCTATGCCCTCAGGGAGGTCTGAGCCCTGCACAAGGCTAGTTCCCGGTCAGGGTCCGGAGGTGGGGGCTCCTCTGCTTTGCAGGAAAAATGATGCCTAATCCCCAAACACTCAGTGTAGAAAACACACAGTCTAAAAAAGCATGGTGGGGGTGGGGGAGAAGAAAACGGTTTTCTTTCAAAACCAGCACAGCTCTCCAGACTCTTTCAACTCTCCTGGATTTCAGGCTGACAGAGAACCACACGCAGCACCAGCCACCCCCAGAATCCGGTACCCGCGGGCACCGTAAGGCACCTGCTGATATGGGACAGAAACCCCTGTGAGCCCAGAGCCGGCACTGTCACATCACCCAGCCGTCGTCGTCTCCCGCCGGCAGAGTCTTGCCCACTCGCGGCGAGGGCAGCGGATCCCCCCCCCGGGGCGGTGTGCCTACACTCACACGGTGATCAGCTTGTTCTGCAGCTCGGGCTTCGTGATGACGTACACCTGGATGGTGTCAAAGAGCTCCCGAGAGATGAAGTCCTCCGGGACCTGCGGCGGCACAGAAAGCTCCGCTCCAGCCCCAGCCCGGCTGCCGAGACCCCCCCTCCGGGAGCGGCCTCCACCCCCGGCCCCCCCCGCCATCCTCCCCTAGGGGCGCTCCCGGGCCCCAGTCCCGGCCCCCCCACCTGGTAGGTGATCTTGGGCCCCAGCGTGGGGTGGAACTCGCTGAAGAAGACGCACTCGATCCTGCCGCCCATGGCGGCCCGGGGAACGCCCGGGCTGAGCCCCGCTCCGGCAGCAGCGGCGCCGGCGGAACGGTGCCTACTACGCATGCGCGCCGGCTCCTGCCGGCCACCGTAGCACCCATCCGGGGGGACTTCACGTCACAGGTTCGCGCCAGTGGAGGAGGGCTCTCACTCTGAGCGACAGCGCCGCCCACCCATTCAGCGGCGGCGCGGCGCGGAAGAGGCGGGCCCTAGCGCGGACTGGCAGCTCACCTCCCCCAATCGGGGGCCGCGTCCTGGCCCGCCCGTCTCCGCGGCGGCGGCGGTGGTCACCCCCCTCCCCGGCCGCCATGGCCCTGACGGCCGAGACCGAGTCCCGGCTGTACCGGTCGCTGCGCGCCGCCGCCGG